GGGGGGGGACGCCGTGCGGGAGGCAGCGGGCGGGGGGTGGGGGGGGGGGGGGGGGTCCACATGTTACTGGTTTAGTTATAGAATATCTAGAAGTTACTTTATCCATGTACAGATTCATTCACACTGAGTTAAATTTGTGGGAAATAAATTCTAAATTACCAATAGAGGGAAGGAAAAGGTAATGTGAATACATTCAAGATGGAGCTTTCAAATTTGATTTCATTCATAAAAGGGAGAAAAAAAATACTCGGCTTGCTCCTGCATGTCGTTTGCAGCAACACGCAGGTCGTCATTTCTCCCTGAAGACTCTCTCCAAGGGACTTTTGAGCAACAGCAGCCTGGCATAGGGGCATGGCAGAATATGTCAGATAAATATGGTCTGGACTTTGACCAGTCTTAAACTTTGTACTTGATGGTACGATTATGAACTGTCAGATTATCTTCCTCAGAATTTTTCAGTTTCATTAATTATGTGAAGTCATCCTGAAGCAGTATGTGAAAGCTAGCCATAAACTTTAGCAAACATTTCCCAAACCTCTGCTAAAATCTTTCAACAACAAAATGGATTTTAGTTTTTGCTGGATGTTGTTTTTCATGTTGATATACGTTTATCAGGAATGATATTTATTGATCGTTTTGTCAAGTTAAGTTGTTTTACTTGAAGCATTTCTGAATATCTTCACAACTGCACTGCAAGATGCATAAATGTTAAACAAAAATCCAAATATTTTACACTTCATAGCAATCGCTTGTTTTTATGTCATGCAATTTAAATGCAAAAGTGACAAAGTAAATAATCCAATACTGGTGTAAATACAAATACATGCAGAAACGGACGTGAGCAGGATTTAATCAGGCCACAAGAGGATAAACACTCAGCTTGGTGATTTAGGTAGAAGGTTGGGTTGCACGTCATTGAAGGAATAAAGCTGGGTGGCAGCGCAGTGCAATTGTATGAGAAAGCAATAGATGAAAGCATCTACAGTATCCTGCGTCATACACAGAACATATGTGGAATTTCAACTACCAGCCTTTCATACTCCATCAAGAGTCGATAATGCCATGCTGGTTGATGGAGAAGCATTCAAATCCAGAAATTTGAATATTTAATAAAATAAAAAAATTTATTAACAAGAACTTATAAAACTGTCACGAGGACACAAAGAAAGGGCAGGAATAAAAATGAACCAGGTACATGGAGGAAATAAAACGGCAATATAACAGGAGGAACCAGCGAGGAGCGAGTGAAGGAGAAGTAGTGAAATACTGAGAGAGTAAACTGGAAGAATAGACTGGGCTGATTGGCTAGCAGGTTACAGGTGTGATGGGAGAGAGCAGACGGCAGACTGAGGAATGACACAAGAGGGTGAGAGGAACGAGGAAAATGAATCTAAGAGTAATTTAACACAATGAATAATAAACATAATCTAAAATAGCTAAGAGCTGGCTGAAAATAAACAAAAATGAGGAATACAGAATAACAAATAATCAAAAGTACGACAGATAAACATCGGCCTGATGATCGGCCGTCGCTCCACTGGGGATGATTGCACGCACATCTGGTATCCTCACAATTGTGGAGTTTTGCGTAAAAAAAGAGCGATGTCTCCAGATGTTTCAAGCCCAGACTTGTTTAATCTAAAACGTTTGAATTGAACAGAAGGATGTGAACTTCTTAAGCTGTGCTTTGAAAATGACACAATGTGATAAAATATATGACAAAATAAACAGGAATTTCTTAAAAAACAGCAGC